GGTTCTGCAGTCATCTGAACAAAATTATAGACATTCAGCACATTCCATTAAAAATAAAACAAAACAAAAAAACAAAGAAAAGAATAATATCCAGAAAACAGCAAAGTTCTGTTGCTGTTGTGGTACCTGGGACCATTTTTATTTTATTAGCATATTAATCATCATCTGGAAAGAAAACATTCTAGAGCAATATCATTAAATGTAGCTCTGATAAAGCACAGTCCTTACTATGTATCGTAAAGCAGGTACAAGATATTTTACATTCATAGAGGTATGGTACAGTACTGTCCTACATCGATAATACTAGAATCAGTTTTGGTTTGAAATTTACTTTGTCTGCAAATAAGATTGCTACCCCTGTTTTTTTCTGGGCTCCTGCCACATGGAGAATTGTTTTCTATCTTTTCACTTTCAGTCTATGGGCTTCTCTTTGCTCTAGGTGTGTTTCTTGTATATAACATATTGTTGGATTTTGCTTCTTATTCCATTTTGCCAGTCTATTTCTCTTGATTGGTGAGTTGAGGCTATTGACATTGCTGGTTATAACTGACATATACTGACTTATTATTGACATGTTATTGGCCTTTTGTTGACTCCTTTTACTTTTTCACCTTCTCCTTTTAATTTCTTGCCTAGCCTATTTGATTTGCTCTTTCGGGCCTCATGGTATTGTTGCCTTCATTGTCTTTTTCTAGGATCTTGTTTAGAATTCCTTGTAGTGCTGGTTTGGTATTCATGTAGTTTCTCAGGTGTTCTTTGTCATGGAAGTGTCTTATTTCCCCATCCATTTTGCAAGAGAGTTTTGCTGGATACATCAGTCTAGGTTGGAGGTTGTTCTCTTTTAGTACTTGAAATATCTCATTCTAGGCTCTCCTTGCCCCAAGGGTTTGTGTTGAAAAGTCTGCTGTGATTCTGATGGGCTTTCCTTTGCATGTGATTTGTTTCTTTTCTCTTACTGCTTGTAGTATTTTGTTCTTCTGTTGGGTTTCTGGGATCTTGATTATTATATGTCTAGGTGTAGATTTTTTTTGATTGTAGCTAGTTGGGGTCCTATATGCCTCAGTTATC